AGACATATGCCTTTAAGACCTAGGGGGCTGTACATTCAGACAGTGACGAGGCAGTCACGTGTTTGGGTTTACAACCAATGAGAAGGCAGAACAAAATATTTTAAATAGACGAACAGACAGGAAATAGGACCCTCATTCGGGAAGCTGGGACACCGCAGGTGGAAGGGTGAGATTTTAGCTCTGACCTCTGACCTCTGGGCTTTCTCTTTTGCATTGTTTCTGTGTTTCTTATTTAATAAGACGGTTGGTTACATCTATAGCCCATCTGTTGTGCTCTGCCCTGGGGAAGACTGTTTCTCTCACTCTCAGCATTTCTTAATTGTCTTCAGGTCTTCATGCAGGATTGAGCCTTGTAAGCTTGTCCATCCACTTTACCATGTCTATTGTTGTTGTTCTTGTTCAGCTCATATTTAGGCAGCCATGTTGGCAAAACTTCAAGGGTGAAGCTTCTGTTATTACTAGAAGACACAGTCTTATACCAAACTCCCTGATCCTCTGGCTCTTGGAATTTTCTTGGCCCTTTTCTTACAATGCTCCCTAAGCCTTAAGTACAGGAGTGTTTTGTAGATGTATCCACTGGGACTGGGCTCTACAACTCTGCATTTTGATTGGTTATGGTTTTCTGAACTGGTCTCCATTTGTTGCAAAGAGAAGTTTCCTTGATGAGGGGTGAAGACTACACTTATAAGTTGGTATAAAGACAAATATTTAGTTAGGGATTATGCCAGCTATGTTTTTTCCTGAGAATATCTTAAGAATAGTGCATCCTGAGAAAAAGTTGGCTCCTCTATCTCAGTCCAGCCACAGAGGTACTCACTCCAGCATGGTGAACTTGGCACCAAATTTTGCAAACTGGGTTTGTGACTAAGCTAGTAAGGCCAACTCTGACACCTTTCATTACCTAGATGCAAACCTGAAAAAACTAGTTGAATAAAAACCTTCAACTCGTACTTTCTTTGTGCATCATTGCCATAGCTACTCAGTCCTTCAATTATTTTTAAAATGATTCATTTTTGTACTCCTGAAATTTGTATAACCCATCAAACAGGGGGCTGCCACAAGGACAAGCTAGAATATTAAATGTCAGTTAGTCTCAGAAAAATACCTGATGTGGACTGTATAAATGCATAAATCATATACATAATATATATATTAAACATATGTTAATATCTCAATTCATTTACCAAAGGAGAAATTTGGTAATCTAAGACCTACCTACAAAACTATTATGAATAAATTGAATTAGATGTTTTTAAAAAGGCAATTTTAAATGACATGTGCATACATTTTTGCCTTTGAGTTCCAGAGATACACTGTAGACCCAGCACACAGCACCCACTGCCAATCAATTAGTGCTGGGCACCTTTATGGTTTTGTTTTTATTTTGTTTATTTGTTTATGTCTTTTCATTTTCCTAACTGCTCCAAATACTTTAATTCATAATCTTTGTGGGGAGGCAGTTACTTGGGTGTGTGTGTGCCTAGAGAGGCCAGAAGAGATTATCAGATCCCCTGGAGCAGCAGTTATAGGTGGTTATCTAATATGGATGCTGGGAAATGAACACTTGTCATTTGGTTCTGTCCAAGTACAAGAAGTGCTCTTAACTGCTGAGCTATCCCTATGGTCCCCAATTCAGGATCTTAAATGGATGTCCCCCTTAAAATAAAAAGTTATTTTTTTATACTACAGCATGGTAGCTCGTTCTTGTAATGACAGGGCTCACAAGGCTGAAGCAGGAAGACCACTGTAAGTTCAAAGCCAGCCTGGGCTACAGAACAAGTTCAAGCAAGCCTCAAATGCAGAAATTATACTACTCTCTCAAATTTGGCAACTTACACACACATACACACACACACACACACACACACACACACACATACACACACATACACGCGCGTGCACGCATGCGCACGCGCGGGGGGCAAAACACAAAATAAATAAGACTTTAGTAAATATATACAAAATAGACAAAATTTTAATAGTGTAAGTTGCTATTGTGGAAAACTCCTAGTAATTTAAAACAAAAGCCAAACCAATCAAGATTATACTGCTTAAAAGGCAAGCTCTGTCTTTAATGATATATTCATTGCATAAAATGCCTAAAATGGAAAGAAGAAACATCTCTTTTAGTAAGGATTATAAAATTATTTATTTTAAAAGAAAACAGGACATTATATTAAAAATTATGCAGGTATAAAAACTACATAATTGTAATTTGAGCCACTAGAAGTGAAATGCTAAAGGAATTTCTTCTTTATAGAACTAGTCAGCTTTCGAACAAAGCAGAACAGGATGGGAATACTCCAGAGTGGGAACAGTGAAGCTGTCCCTACCGCCTGGAGGCACTTTTCATTCTGCAGTGGAAGCAACTGGAACCCAAACTGAGTTTGGCAGTACACTGGAATACACAACAATCAGGCCAATCAAGAAGCCTGAAATCTGAAGAAGAAAGAAATTGAAAAGGTATTTTCTGTGCACAGAACTGGTTCTGTAGGTCTGTAAAGTCCCTCTGAGACCAGGACTAAGCACAGCTCTACACATGCAGAAGCCCAGAAGGCAACTGTCAGCTTTATCCAAGCCCACTGCCAGATGGAAAGATCTCTTGAGTAAAGACACTAGAGAAGATAGAAGTTTTTGGAACTGTCTCGCCTCAACCTTGGAACCAATTAACTAGAAAAAGGCTCTCTGGGTGTGTACTACGAGAACATAACAGAAAGCCCTGAATGAACCAAGAGCTTCTAGGTAACTTCAGTTCCTGCCAAAACAAAGTGGTATTACAGGAATGGAAAACATGGTCTAGAATATATTATTTAAATGAAGAAAGATAACATGACCTACAATTTGAATAAAAAAAAAATCAGTGTAACCCTCAGACATAAGAGAAATGATGCAACTAATCATAAAAAATTACCATGATATGATATTATTAGAAGATCAGGTACCCAGTGGAAAACAGGAAGATGGTAGAGAGAACAGTGGCTTTGGGAAACACATAGCAGAACTTGAAAAGACGAAATTAACATAGAAACTAGAAGAACAAATTGGACATGATCAAGAAAAGAAAGAGCTTTGAATGAAATATATAAAAATTAAGTTCAAAGAAAAGGAAAAAAAACTTACCATGGACCTAAGAGACAACAGCAGGTAAGCAAATTGTTGCAAAAGGAGACCTATTGTAAGAACTAGAGTGAAATTCAAGAAATAGTGGCCTGAAATGGTTTGCACTGGCTCAAAAATCTAAAGTAATACATCCAAGAGTCTTAAAAACTTAAATTTAAAATTTAAAAAACTGGAATCTTATTCTGGATAAAAATAATTTAACTATTTTAAAATTTATCTTTCAAAACTTAAAATAAATGTCGTTTGGTTTTTAAAAGATAAAAAAGTATGCTAATCATATCCTTGAGCATTTTCATTATTTTTAATAGCCTTATTTCTAGGTTTTCAAGTTTATATAATAATAATAATAACTGGCTATTCCTACTATTGGTATTTTTCAATGAATTTAACTTTTACATACTTATAACCTTCCCATATACTGAATTTTTAAACATTTTTTTAAAAATTCTGTTTGTGTGTGTGTGTGTGTGTGTGTGTGTGTGTGTGTGTGTGTGTGTGTGTTGCATGTGGCTGCCTGCAAAGACAAGAAGAGGGTGTTTCATTCCCTAGAGCTGGAGTTACAGGCTGCTGTGGAGCCAGCC